TTCGGCCGCTTTTCAAAAATAGTACCGGACGCTGTTCCTCTTGTGACGTCATAGCTCCGTGACCTGACCTGACCCGGTCAATTTTCTTGCACCACACGATAGCCAATGCTTGCTTCAACATGCATGGGAAGTTTCATCATGATCCATCAAACAATGTGGGTATCACCGGCAGAAAACCTAGGGATTCGGCGCACACGTTTGGTAACTGTCGGCCGGAGGCTGTACCTCTTATGACGTCATAACTCCGTGACCTGACATGACCCGATCAATTTTTTTTCGGCAAAAGATGCGCAAAGGTTGCCCCAGAGGGTATTGAAAATTTCAGCCCGCTACGACAAGCCGTTTAGCGTGCACTTCGAAAAAAACCTCAGGGGGGTTGATACAACCCCCCCCCCCCTAGGCGTTCTAGGATTAACCCTCGCACGACCAGGCCATTTCTCATAACACGAACGACCAGGGGGGGGGGTTGTTACGACCCCCCCCTGGCGTTTCGAAACGGAAGGTCGTAGAGCTTAGCGGAAAAAACCAACGGATTGCTCTCAACGAGATCTCGCGATTGGTGGTATATTTTTTGGTCCTAGGTCAACATTTGACCTACTTTTGACCGGTCAAAGGTCAAATTTTCGTTAAAAATAGACTTTTTTCAACTTTCGGCGGCGATTGCGGCAAAACGGTGGGAGATATCGACTTGAAACCTTCACTATCGTGTTCCTTGATCAATTCTCTATCGTTTGGTATGTATTTCGTTTCCCTAGCTCTAAAAATGGCGCGTTGGGAGCGCCCATGGTGTGTCAAAAGTGGAAATAGCCGCCCGGCTTTAGTTCGCCAGCCTTGTCAATAGATGGCAGTACCACAATATGGGCAGCGGATCGTGCTATTGACGTCAGATTTTCGTTATCTGCTAAGAATTGAATGGCGGATCTTTTCATGCAAGAATCAAGTAAATCGGTCCACAACTTTTCTAGCAACAGAGATATGAAGTCAAACACCCTGCCAAGAGCGGCGGCGCGGCGACCGGCGGCAGCCGTTACGCGCCGCCTGGGAGACTGGCGGCGCTGAACGGTTCCGAATTGGCACTGCACTTAAACCTGTTAACTGCTTGGAATAGTTATTATAGCAAAATTTTCATTCAAGTGAGGAATAACCAAGGGCAGGAAGTATGTATGCTTGTGTGCGTACTATGTAAGCCAAGAAACTGCATTAGCTGATACTCGCTAATATTAGATCCAGCCAAGTCCAAACGCATTCCAGGTGATGTGTTTCTGATGGGTCAACAATATTTATCGTTCGAGGGCGGATACAGTTTTAACAATACAAAAAATATTTTTGCACAGCTCTATTCCTTGAATAATTCTCTTCAACGCCTCATTCCTAGTTAAGCGAATTAGCCCACCCGGGTTGAATAAATAAGGCGATTTCGCCACAAGGTCGGGGAAAACCAACCGAAAAAGGCCGCGCTCAACGTTAATTTGGGCATGCAGACTCTTAAAAACTCGCGTTGGGCGGGCAGGGTTTCCCAGGTATTGGCTCCAAAACACCGTATTCGGCTCCCGAATACGTCCAAGTGACCCGCCTCGCTCCTAGTTAAGCTCTAATTAGATCAAGTGACTCATAGGGAGCGAAAAAGCGACAAAAAGCATGAATTTACCTATGGCGGCGGGCTGCCGGGTTGCCAGACGGCGCACCGGCTATTTCCACTTTTGACACACCATGCGGAAGTCGGCAAGGTCACAGTCGGCGGCAGAAATTCGAAAAATCAAAATTTAAATTTTTGAAATCTGATTGTATTTTTGGATTTGGGAGGTCCATTTGCTCCCTATAGAAGCTAATATTGCTGCATATTCCCATTGAGGTGACAAGAAATAGCAAAATAGTGGCTCGGGCGCTTTTCAAAAATAGTACCGGACGCTGTTCCTCTTGTGACGTCATAGCTCCGTGACCTGACCTGACCCGGTCAAATTTCTTATACCATATGATAGCCAATACTTGCCCCAACATGCATGGGAAGTTTCATCACGATCCATCAACCGATGTCCGTACCACCGGCAGGAAACCTCGGGCGTTGGCACTCAGTTTGTGAAAATCCGGCCGGAGACTGTACCTCTTATGACGTCATAACTCCGTGACCTGACATGACCCGATCAATTTTTTTCGGCAAAAGATGCGCAAAGGTTGCCCCATAGGATATTGAAAATTTCAGCCCGCTACGACAAGCCGTTTAGCGTGCACTTCGAAAAAACCTCAGGGGGGGGGTTGATACAACCCCCCCCCCCCCTAGGCGTTCTAGGGTTAAAAGCCAGGCTGTTTGGGAAATATGCGCTTTTGCACAGATAAGTGTGGTAATGGACAGGCTGGTAGCTACGTTGGTCGCGTGGCAGCATGCTCCTATCAATCGGCTACTTATTTTGAGAGAGTTGACGCAGGCGCAGCATAAGTGATGCTCTTTCCAGTAATCTTGGATTTATGTCTGGTTACCAATAACATTGCTAAGAGCATTATCTAGTAGCTTAGGATTCCGCAAATGGATCTAGTTTTAGGTCTGCTGTTCATTATAATGTTTTTTTTCCTTCTCTAAGCTGTGCATTGGGTCAGCGTGGCGCTTTCGCTGGCTTCGTGCGCTATTGTTAGTTTTCACTTTTTAAGTTTTATATATGTAGGGTGGGGCGGTTTAGTCCGTTGTTATGGATGGGACAGTTTAGTTCGTTGTTATGCTATGTAGGATTGGGCGGTTTAGTCCGTTGTTATGCTATGTAGGATGGGGCGGTTTAGTCCGTTGTTATGCTATGTAGGATGGGGTGGTTTAGTCCGTTGTTATGCTATGTAGGATGGGGCAGTTTAGTCCGTTGTAATGCTATGCCGGATGGGATGGTTTAGTCCGTTGTTATGCTAGTCACTGGTTAGAATCAGAATTAAAACTCTCATGGATTTCAGTGGGTATCTTCATATCGAACAGGAGCCACGCATTTGCGGGGAGAAGATATCAGCTATCTATTGAAGGGCTGAGAGTAATTCGCTTACCTTTATAGATTAATGAAAATAATAGTTTGTATCAGGGATGCGGAGCCGGAGCCGGAGCCGGAGCCGGAGCCGCCGGAGCCGGCATATTTTGCCCGGAGCCGGAGCCGGAGCCGGAGCCGTGAAACAATATAGCCCGGAGCCGGAGCCGGAGCCGGAGCCGTCAAAAAAGGGGGCGACTCCGGCTCCTTTTCTTAAGAGGAAACATATACAGGGTGTTTCACTAAAAGTGTCAAAAAGAAAATGCTTATTAAAGATATATAAAATACGCAAAGCACGTGGTTGCGCACGTGGCTTTGTTGCAAATTTTTGGACATTTATGCTTTGGCCACTTAAGATATATTTTACACTCATACGGAGCGAGGGCAGGAGGCCAAAGTTACTAGTCGTTTTTTTTTCCTTATACAGAACAAGAACAGGTTATTTACACCGCAACGGGAGCGGTGGATTACACTTACATTTGGTGCTATCAGAAGCATTGAAACCGTACGCCGACTTTTCAGGAAACGTTTCACTCTCTCACCTGGCTACGACCCAGATTATAAAAGTTTCAAAGGGCTTCTTGAGAGGTTTAAAAGGGTTCCTTTGATGCCGGTTCCAGTCCAAAAAAAAAGGCGGGTCGCCCCCACCTCTCGGCGGAAATCGTTGAAAAGGTCAGGGTCTTTTTTAGGGCCTTTTAAGATAACAAGAAGCTTATTTCAACATCAGAAATAGCCAAGCCCCCAATTTATCAGAAACAACCACTGTAACGGCTGTAGCCACCAAGAACTTGCTGGACCAGAAGTTCCGTTCCCGGGCCGAATAATCAGCTGCCTCACCGCCCGCCCCTGGCCAGCGCGAGGTCCCGATCTGTCACCGCTAGCCTTCTGGTTTTGGTCAGTAGCTCTCGCAGAGCTGAGGAAGACTTAAGTCGCATCACTTTTGGAGCTGAAGAGCACAATGCAAGGCTTTGCCGACAGTCTGGACGCTGAAGATGAAAACGGGCTGTGAGGCACCTCCGGACACGTGCCGAAACGGTGCATCAAAAGAAGCGGCGGATATGTGGAATAGGTTTGAGTGACGGTGATGTCATTTTTATATATTCAAATGTCCAACAATCGCGGATGGAATGATGTGCAAATGTCCATAGAAAACATTGTTATTATGTGCATAAGGGCCTTTTACTTTTTGACACTTTTAGTGAAACACCCTGTATAACAGTAGAACAGGAAACAATTATTTACCTAATTCGGTTTGACAGTACAAGGCGTAAAACAATGTGGTATTCAAAATAGCCTTGTTATACAAATACAGAAGCAGCGTGTACCAATCCCATCGCCTTTTTTCTTCCACCCGTATTTTTTTGATCGCGTAGGGGTGTACTGAGTAGAAGCCGGAGCCGGAGCCACCGGAGCCGGATCATTTTACTCGGAGCCGGAGCCGGAGCCGGAGCCGCCTTGACATTTCACCCGGAGCCGGAGCCGGAGCCGGAGCCGATTTTTTTCTCCGGAGCCGGAGCCGGAGCCGGAGCCGTCTGAAATTTCCACGGCTCCGCATCCCTGGTTTGTATCAATCACCACCAAATTCCGTCTACTATAGGGTAGACGGAAAAGATCACGACGCGAAATATCGCTTGATTACGACGGCGGCTTGAGATAGACGCGATCAGTCCTGATCAGTTAGTCATACTATAATCACCAATTAAACAACATGTTTCAGCAATATCACACCATAAATGGCTAATGCATATTTAGAGCTAAATTATGTTGAACACTGAAGTAAAAGCCAGCTGAACAGTCCCGTTCGACCGGACGTCTCAAATCGCCGACATTCTCCCGTAGCTCTCTCGACCACCTCGTGAATCTGTCATGAGTCACGTGACCCACCGGCATATCGGCGCTCCCTTTGTGCTTTTTCGTCACGTGACCGGACGGCGGCGGCCGCCGCCGGGTGTCACGTGACCTTCAGTGACGGCCGCCGGTGGTGTCACGTGACCTCCACTCTGCGGGCCGGGCGGGCGGGCGGACGGCGGAGCGGACTAAACTTCAGTCGCATTCCAGTGCGGTGCGCCGCTGCGCCTGCTAGGTACCGTGGATAGATAGCAGCCGCGTGGAGCCGCTATCGTCGGCCGGTTGTTTAGACACTGTGGCAGCTGTAACGACTGCTGTACAACAGCAGCAGCAGTGCTTACATTTCCGCATCACCGTGGGCAGCTGCGGCTACCACCGGCGAGGGCCACGTATAGCTGGCAGACTACACAGAAATACAGCGATTAGACCGTCAGCTGAGGAACTTCAGCTCGCACCGCCAAAACAGCAAGTGGGAGACATTCTGTGATTGGGCTCATGTCATCGGTATCAGTGGCTTGGTGGATGGAACAATTGCCCAGTAACTGACGGCAGCAGCAGCAACGTTCTCACCGAAAGAAGCAAGCGGCAGTATCAGTAGCCAGCTCATGGTGGCAGCAGCAGCAACAACAGAAGTAATAGCAGCTGAAGCCAGCAGCAGGGAGCACTCAGCTGCAGCAATAGCACCAAGGAAACCAAGCAGCCACAGCAGCAGCAACGCTCACAGCAATAGAAGCAGCTGTTAATATCAGTAGCCTGTGGCAGCAGCAGAAGCAGCGGCTAATTTCGGCGGCAGCAGTGATATCCAGCATCACCAGCAGCCGCAGTACCACCATGCTGCGCGTGCCCAACCTGCCGCTGCGGCAGCGATCAGCCGGCGATCTCCCCAGCATCCCCGAGAACAGCGAGTCAGCGGAGCAGAGTCAGAGCCGACCGGTGCTGAGTCGGAGTCACGGAGACGTGAGTCGACTCCAGCCGCCGGCTCAGACTCACGGAGGAGCGACTCCAGAGAGCGGGGGACTGAGTCGGCCCGGCTCGGCCGAGTTCCTCTCACCAATACTGCCGGTAAGATATGGCTCAGCTTCTCACCAATACTGCCGGTAAGATATCTCAGTTCCTCTCACCAATACTGCCGGTAAGACACCTCAGCTTCTCACCAATACTGCCGGTAAGAGATGGCTCAGTTTCTCGCCAATGCTGCCGGTAAGAGATGGCTCAGTTTCTCACCAATATTGCCAGTTAGAGATGGCTCAGTTTCTCACCAACATTGCCGGTTAGAGATGGCTCAGCTTCTCACCAATACTGCCAGTAAGATATCTCAGTTTCTCACCAATACTGCCGGTAAGACACCTCAGCTTCTCACCAATGCTGTCGGGAAGATCCCTCAGCTTCTCACCAATACTGCCGGTAAGATATGGCTCAGTTTCTCACCAATGCTGCCGGTAAGAGATGGCTCAGTTTCTCACCAATATTACCGGTTAGAAATGGCACAGTTTCTCACCAATATTACCGGTAAGACACCTCAGTTTATCGCAAATACTGTCGGTAAGATATGACTCAGCTTCTCACCAGTACTGCCAGTTAGAGATGGGTCACGAATAGCGTAATTCAGAACACCACAAGTCAACATTTCGCACAGCAAGTGCAGTATTGTACTGAATTGTTGATAAACCATATGTCGCATCTTTGTCCACACCTCAGACATAAGACCTTCCTATTACGTCTTTCCTCAAATATACGTAACTCTCCGTCATTATTGCCCTATGTATTTCACTGACCTTTATTTGCCTTTACGTCGTCGTACCACAGTTTGTTTTCCGCGGCATGTCTGCTGCTTTGTGCAGTTGCACCAACGACTGGCATTGTGCACGGAACGCGCCATCCCGATCCGTGACAAACGTGACAGGCTAGCAGTGACAGATGTGAGCTTATCGGTCAACAATCGCACGTGTCGACTGCGCCAGCGGCGGTGCACATTTTCACACTGCACGCTGAGATGTGAGCAGCTTGCAGACAAGATGACCAAGATGACAATGGAAAGTTGGTGATTCTGTAATGAGTAATGACTAGCACTGGGTTAGTTACTTTGAAATGTAATGGTTTAACAACTTTTATTGCTTGCTTGCTCCAATGTGTTTGTGAGTGGATCAGGTTCCTTTCCTTTCAAGCAGTGTTTATCTGGTCTGCTGCTTAAAAGAGCCCTCCTCTCCTTGTTCTTTTCCTTATCTTGCTCAATGTCTCGGCATGTGGAGATATTGCCGCTATTGTTTGGTATATCTGAAATCTGAATTACCTACTTAGATAAAGTTCTCATAACTAGTGCAATGTGCATGTTTCACCTTTGTGGGGGGAGGGGGGGGGAGGCCGACAATTCATTCACACAAATATTAACTAATGTTTACTATGACTAAGATTCATTCAAGGTAGGTTAATTTGCCTGCCGCAGACCTAGCATCCGCTTTCAGTTTAGGCACTCCGCAATGGCGTTACAATCCGTGTGACAATCAATCGGTGCGATCAGCGACACGTTTGACTATGGTCTCTGACTTCCGATCAATGGTCTCTGACCTCGCAGCAACTGTCCTTTGACCTTTCCGTTTGCCACTGTCCTGAGTTGTGATTTGTCGCTCGTTAATCTCGACAGTAAAGGAGGGCGTAAACAGCATGATTTGTAAGTTACAAATTGTATAATAATTACAGGGTTGTATACGACTCAATCAATAGCAATCAATTCAATCACGACAAATTTGGGAAACCAATCAAATCAATCAAGTCAGAGCAGTTTTCGGGAATTGATTCAATCGACTCAAACGCGACAATGAAAGGAATCAATCAACTCAATCAAACGACTCAAACCAACACATACATTAGGTTTTTTGCCTCACCAACTTGGAAAAGTGTCCATAGCAGTCTGGTGTACCTACCTACCTACCTTCCTACCTACCCACAGAAGAAACATAAAAATATTGTCATTTAAAATTATAAATTGCCATACCATTCAAAGTTTCTATGTAATAAGGATGGATACCTAGTGATGGACAGGTGGATAATGACATTGAGGTTCAATGGGTAGAATTGGAGCAGAAGTTTCATTTAACCCATTTATGCCCAGGAATATTGACCATCATGAAAATCGACGAAATCAGAATATGTTATGCTCCTACCAGGGCCTTGTATGGAATCGAAAATAATTTTTGCCTGCAGCAAAAGTTTCTCGAGAAAAACGTAAAAAACATGCGTTGCGAAATCGCAACGAAGGGCACACCGGGCGCCATCAGCGTTGCGAAAACGCAACGACGGGCACATCAGACGGACATAAAGTACACTGAACTGCCGTATATGCTAATATGTTTTGACAAAACATCAATCAACTGTTGACAACTATTGCTTGAAAATGCGGAACCCACATCCGTCATGCTCTATAACCCGCCTAAGAGCCTCAGTGAGGAAGCATAACTTCATGATTCGCGAACGGGGAGATGGCAACACGGTCATTATCAACCATTTACGTTGTCCATTGCTGTTCATTTAAAGTTGTGGTCGACACGTATCCAGGATGATGCTTTCTTTTTGGAAGCTAGACAGATCCATTACCCCCACCTATCAGACCCTGCACAGTGCACACTGAATACAATTAAACGGAGGATTGGGAGTAAACCAGTAACTCTCGTATGCGCGTATATCCGCAAGCATTTTTAACCACCCTCCTAGGAGTAAAGTTAAATTCCATTGCAGGTTAGTCGTACCCACTCTCAGCAAAAAGAAAAAAAGGACCGATCCGGCTCTAACAAATTACCCGCGTAAGGCGTAGCGCATCAGAACAAATCGACTCCCAGTTTATCATGTTTACACCTAATCCAAAATTTTCATGGCCCCACTCTCAGCGACCTTCACGTGTAACCTCTTTCTCGAGACAATGCCAGGACAGAATGGTGATTCGACGTCAATCCGTCCTTTCCATCTTCAGGATAGTTGAATCCTCCTCCACGCCTCATCCCCCTGTTCCGGGCTGGACCGGCAACGTATATCGCAATCGGGCAGCTCACATAGGGGTGCGCCTGTAGCCGGGTGCAGTGAGTGCTTGGGAGGGGGGAAGGGGGTGGGTCATGGGTGGCGGCTGCCCACTGGCTGGGCTCAGTCTCCAGTCTACGATTGACCGTGTCCGGTCAGACAAATGTCTCCCCTAATTCCAATAATCCTGCTAGCTCTGAAAATGGTCTGATTAGATAAAAAGCCTATCAAAGTAAGAAAACAGGCGTATACTCCACATCAAGCAGCTTATGAATCTATGCGAGTTATGAATCCTAAAAATCATTATTTTCCCATGGGTCCGCCCTCATTACCCCTGCCGAAGGGCTCAGCTACCCTCGGAGGGGGCCTATCCCACTATTTGCCGACCCTCGGTTACCTTTTCTAACGTAAATGCTGGTAGTCAGCAGATTCTATCCAGAGAATGGCGATACCTATCTGTCGCCTGATACCAGAATACATCCCCGTTATTCATTATTTATGCGCAATGTACATAGTAGATCCAATTTCCAAAGGACCTAATTATCTCTCAGCTCCGTTAGCATCGCCGACCGTTTGATGCATGGGTCCTTTTCCTACCATGCGATTTTCAGATGCATGGGAACACATTGCTTAGTGAACGAACAGCCCGAGGCCGAAAATCTGCGAGAGAAAAAGAAAGGAGTGTTTGTGGCTGTTTGAGCCAGCAAATATGAAATGTGTCGCAACATTTTACGTGCGAACACACCTTGCACTAAACATACCTATATACGTCCCTCATGGCATAGGCGGCGGAGCGGGGGGAGGGGGCACCGGGGCACCGTGCCCCCCTTGATTTTGCCATTTTAACATTATCCCGATAGGCGTTGCATGGAAATGGAAATGGAAAGAATGAGACCAAAAGTCAGCAGTGCTCCCCCCCCCTTAATTGAAGATGTTCCGCCGCTACAGCCTCATGGCTACAAAATGAGAGAGAGAAAGAAAGAGAGAGAGAAAGAGAGAGAGAGGGGGGGAGAGTTGGGGAACGAGGAGGAGAGGGAGGAAGATGGGGGAGAGAAAGAGAGAACCCACAGCGTATCACGAGTGAAGTCTACTGTTGATATTCATACTTCCGCTAGTCCGCTACCCTGCCATGTGCCCATCGTTGCGTTTTCGCAACACCGCTGTCTTTCCGATGTGCCCTTCGTTGCGTTCCCGCAACGCGACCGTAGTCATATTTGAAAATAGTCACAAACCCTTTTTGTAGCATTATTTCTTAACAAAATGCATATCTACACTATTGTAGGGACTCTGCAGAATATGTTTACACAATTTTCATTACGATATTATTAAGCACTTAGCCTACTTATCTTGGTTTTCGTGACGTCATCACTCACAAAACCTTCGACTTCCCTCTGGGAGCTCTAGGCAGTAACTTACCGGCCGCACAGACTTGTAACTGCGTAACTTATCATGCGCACAACCATGCTACACACGCTGAAACTTGTCTCATCGGTTAGTCTCTTTTACACACTTCTCAAGCTTCGATCACGTCGACGCTTGCTTGCGTTGCGAAAACGCAACGAAGGGCGTAAATGGGTTAATGGGTGCAAAATAACCCAGTAGTTGACTCGCCCCTTAACCCAAATCACCACCTTTCACCTAAAGGTTGTCAATTTAATTTTGGCCATATTCCAACTCCATTTACACTAAATATCAGATATTCCGGTTGAAAGTTGGCTGCTCGGATTTTGACAGTGTTCGTGATTTGGACAATTTACCCTACACCACGTCTATTTTAATGGATAATATGCATCAATAACATATTAACCATAGGGAAATAGAAATAAATATCTTACCTGCATGTGACGGTTTCAGTTAGACAGAGACTGACGGGCAGCCTGAAAAATCTTTCCACACAATGTGCATTTGAGGCGTGGGATGTTGTCAGATTGGGAAGGAAGAGATTTGAAGTATTTAGCGGTCCACGACTCTGGACGTGGCATGTCAATGTTAGGTACCTATGTGAAGAATTCAAAACATTTAATTGCAATACAATTTGAAACTGTTAGGACTGG